AAGTTTAATCCTAACAGAAACACCATCAAAGCTGAGAATTAAATTGCATTTCTATTTCTCCCCGCCTTTGAATCAATAATTGAGGTCTTCTGATCTCAGGAGAAGATTGGTATGAGGTCTTTGATATGAAACGGTATCTCGTTGGATGGATGTAAATTGTAAGGCATGTGTTTCCTCAGGTTCGTGTTCCAAACAGGTTTGGAAGCTGGTTTTTGTTCTTTTAATATGACAGAGCAGAAGCCAAAATGTAGCGTGGTCATAGCCTAGCACTTCTGTAGAGCTAGCCATTCTTAAATATTTTACTTTCAGTTGAGAACTTATTGCAGATGTTGAGACCTGTTACATTGTGTTTAATATCAGTGCAATTGTACCAAATGATCCTGTTGATGAGCTTAACAACAAATGGGTCAGATTTGCTGGCAAATGTAAGGCTGTTTAGGACTGACGTGCAGAAGAGAGTTGGAGGATTATAAAGTGGGGTGTGACTTGCTTTAATTGATGCCCTCTTCTGTCCTCCTGTTTGGTTGCTTTTCTTGCTACGTTCTCTTGCTGTTCTGGGTGTGTTACAGTCCAGACTTAGTGGCTGTAGTTGGAGGTGATGCATAAATAATACGGGTTGGAACAAAATGATATATTTCATGCTGAGAGGACTTGAAGTTGTAATTCATACCAATTTGGATTTTCTTAGATTTGTGTCTTAGGTGGCAGGCTTTTTTGAGACACAAAGTCCTCCCTTATGCTCGGTACTCTACTTTGCTGTTCAGTAGTTTGTAAATAATACGTAGCAGTCATTCCTTGCAAAAACTATCTCTTGCTGTAGCTCATGTGTCCTTGGTTATCCCTTTGATGCCCTTGGTGCATCCGATCGAACTGCCTCATTTGGTGGCTCCATAACTGCAAACTTTTATTTTCTAAGCTGTAGCAGAGTCAGCTGAAATCTGTGATGTGATTTTAAAAAGAACTGCTTCAGTAGGTAACAACACATCCCTGGTTTCTTGCAAGTATGTCACAGCACTGGAATGCTTTTGCATTTTAAAGCTTTTCAGTACCTATAAACAGTGAGTACATCTTGGGGGTGGGGTGAGGAGTGAGAGGGAAATCATTAGTTTAGAACTTTGTTAGGGACTGACTCCTGTTTAAAAGTGCTCGGCCTGTATACTAGGCATTCCTAAAACTTGATCTTTAAAAGTTTAAGAGAAAAAAACCCTGATCCGAGGCTATATGGAGTTGTCAGATATTTCAGTATTTGCCTGGATGCTGTTTTTAGAAGAAGTGCAAGGTCTGACTGAGATTTGTCTTCCCTTTTTTTTTATCAAATCTTTCATTTATGCCTAGCTTGAAACTGAATTTTTTTCATGTTGTTTTTTCTTTTTTCCTTCTATCTTAATTCCTGGATGCCTATATATAACTGTCTTAACATCTTCGGTTTCAGGGAGGAGCAAAAGACCGCTTTACACTCTAGCTTGGTGCAATCTACAGGATTCAAACTTCGCAACAAGAGTTCAGAATGAGAGTATTCTTGTTTCCTTTGTTTTTTGCTGCTGCACAGTGATCAAACGGCAATATAAACTAGCTGGTAGGGTGGTTAATAAATGTTGCACTTGAACCGTTCCCAGGGGAAGGACGATTTCTTGGGATCCCAGTGCGAGGTGGTGCAAAGCCATAGCAGCCACCAAGGGTTACGAGCAGCGCCAAGAAGCCATAGTGGGCTTTTGGTTCACACCAGCTGCTTTACATTTTCTAGCCCTCTCTGGGGAGAGAGACATCTCTGTGATGGATACCCTCTGCTCAGTGCTTGCCCTAGGCTCTGACGCAGCCAGGCAGGGAGCAGGCTACTCCAGGAGACCTCGCAGGTATGCAGGCAGTGGAGCAGGCAGGGCTAGCTCCTTGCCTCTCCCCTGCAGGTGATAAATGTTACAGCCATTTCGGTGGGAGAGGAGGGACACAACTACTTAGAGGACTTCTGAATTATCTCAGCCTTGTCCCTGGAACTAAAGGGAAGTGCTATGAGGTAACTGTGAAGGTCACATCAATTTTGTAGCCTTTTAGTTGCTTTTGACTCTTAAGACTTTGAGGTATGTTTTTAGGGAATTTGCAGAGTTTGGTTGCTTCCGCCCCCTCCCCCCGTTCCTAGAATATGTGGGATAGAGGTAATGCAGACACTACTGAGTCTCAGAAATGGCCCCCACACACGAGGTTTGAGTGCTCTTGGCTTAATGTATTAGTAATTATCCTGAGCATTGTGGATAGAAATGGTGACTCGTGATCCTTCCTGCGTAGTTGTCTGTATTGGTAAATCCTAAGGATTAACAACTGGATATAAACAGGCACACTGAAGAGTGAACAGCACTGGTAGGGTCAGGTTAGGTCCGCTTTCTGTATAATACCATGTTTTCAATAATTTTCTTTTAATTCCATCTATGAGCTCATCTTTTAAAACTAACAAATGTTACTGCACATACACAGTCTGTGCGATTTAGTGTTGTTCTGAATACAAAGTTACACAGCGTTAAATGTGAAGTGGTGATGTGTTTTACGTACTAGTATAACCCTGCTCCAGAGCTATTTGGGAGCCTCTTTTTTATTTTATACTTTTCTGCCCCAATTTTTATTAGTGGTATTCTTACGTGGTTGCATGTGGCATCCCCTGCTGTCAGCCTCCTCTAGAAACACTATATCTGAAAGATAGCAATGTTCAATGACAAAAGATTAAAGCTGAGTATCAGAGTTCCTGCTTGGAAAGCTTTGTCTCTTAATTTAGGTCAGTACTTCAGTGCGCTATACTGTAAACAGTGCAACGGTTGCACCCGTCTTCACTATATAATAAGTGTATGTGGTAAGCTGATCCTACCTGACTGCCTGCCACGCAGCTGTGGCCCACACAAAGCATACCGGAGAGGGAGCAGCGTTAAAACAAATTCTCTGCCGCCCGTGGGTGAGCAGCTGTGACCCTGGCTGGCAGGCGGGATGCTCCCCTCTAAGAGCAGAACCGTGGAGTGAGCAGCAGCCCTGATTCAAGCTAAAATCCTCAAGCGCTGCGTGTCCCACTCCATCTGCCTGCCAGCCCTCCACGGGATTCTCCAGCTTCAGTCGGTCAGTAACGGGAATTTTGTTGTCACCTTTGCATTTTCCACATTCTCTCTCCTAATTCTTCTCCTTAAAAGCTCCAAGTGTTTGGTGCGTGGGGTTTTTTTTTTTTCTTTTCTTTTCTTTGTTTGTTCTGTGCCCCCACCCCCCATGTGACAAGGAAGTGGTTGGGGGATCTAAACATTTTCCTAAGGATTACAGGTAGTTTTCAGCTTTCTTTCAGCAGGCTTTTTCTGCCCTGTGAATATTTTTAGAAGGTCTTTAGGAATTTATCAGAAACTGTTGTCTTGAGGGGCTGGGCAAAACCAGAGATCAAAAACTCTGCATGCTCTTGGTGCTAAATCTGGTGCAGTGCCAGGGCCAGAAATACTATTTGCAAGTGTTTATACTGCCACAAGTGGGACAAATACTTATACTTTGTATAACAAGACAGGCTGTGTGTGGAGTGTTTTTGTAGAAGTTTTTAAAAGAAGAAAGGCAGCTTCTCTCATAGGGGTGGAGGCGATCTTGGCACTCAAAAGAGCCCTGGAAAGGCTTTGGAGACATCAGGGATGTGCGTATGCAGGTTATATTCTGGGAGAATCCCCAAGAGGGGGTTCCTAAAATTGTGAAAAAGATGAGGCTAAATTTTTTGATGCTACTGCAAAATGAATACTTGTTCCAGAGTATTCACACAAAATCACAGAAATAACGCATGGTAATGGATGGATGGTTGGTTTGTTTGGTGTTTTAATTTAGAAGGATATTTATACCTCTCTCTTGCCTTGTTTGATTTGGACTCTTTTTTCTTTTTTTTTTTGCTTTTTTTAAACCTTTGAAGTGTTTGTAAGGATGTATACCCCTTTTACTCTCTAAAAATGAGGACAGGCAAGGATTTGTGTCTTTTCCTGCAAAAACAGCTTTTCTAGCTGTATGAAAAAGACTGAGTTGTGTAGCTTGTTGATAAAGTTTCTGTTGCTTGAAATCCTTAGTGGAATAATTGCTTTCTGGAGACATTTGACTGATCTTTGTGTCGCTGGAAGTCATGCGACTAGCAGCCAGTTGATACTGAAGTTGAGAATAGGTCTCAGAAGAGAATTGATACTAATTTTTAGCTAGCAGCTAAACTTTGATAGCAGTTTAATATTAATAGCATACAGTGAGGTGGTGTTCAGAGGCAGCAATCATCAATATTTTCTATCAAATATCAAATAAGGCAACTAATTTTTAAAATGCTCATTTTCTGGTTGTGGCAGGAAAGACATGAGCAAGAATAACATCTAGCTGTGTGGTGTGTTTATACAGTATAATACCCAAAGATCAAGGATCCTTCTACGGCTGTGAAGAGGAAGCCAAGTAAAATACCCTTGCTTTCCTGTGAATGGCGTTTTGTGGGGGGACCTTGTATTCAGGCTGAGACGAAGGGCGTAGCAAGTCGACTTGTGTTTCTAAGAAACCTTCTGATGAAATGTGTTATGGGAATGCAAATTATGTTTCCACTTCACTGCCTATGTAGTAAGCTCCGGTCTTTTTTTTACAGATGTAATTGCCATTGTTTTTCACTATAAAAAATATTCCTGAACTCTAGATGACTGTTTCTCCTGCTGTGTCAATTGGGTGTAGTGTATACGTATAGTAAGGTGGGAGGAGTTCTGACACATCACCTTGAGAGAGAAGGAAGGAGCAGCAGGTCCAGATTTTAAACCAAACAATCCTCCAGCAATGTAATTTACTTGAGCAGAGAATTACTTCCGTAGTGTCTCAATTACTTGTATCTTAAAAAGAAATTTGGTTTTGTTTTGAAATTCGGTATGCACAGTAATTGATAATGAATGATACTATTATGTTGAAAATAATGCATTTAATGAGAGGGTATGTGCAGTCTGACTTTGTGCTGTAAAGTAACCGTGTGCTGTTGCCTTTGTCTTTTCCAGATGTTTCTGACAGTGTACCTCAGTAACAATGAGCAGCACTTCACTGAGGTGCCAGTCACCCCCGAAACAACCTGCAGAGATGTGGTGGAGCTGTGCAAGGAGCCTGGTGAGAGTGAGTGCCACCTGGCTGAAGTGTGGTGTGGCTCAGGTAGGTTAGACTCGCTGAGTTACTGGGCATTCGCTGCTTCTAATAAGGTAGTGCACAGAGACCTGACAGGCGTGGTCCTGTCCCAGAGGGTTTCTGCCTTACCGTTTTGTTAATCTCTCCGTCAGACCTGCTGTATGATAATGCATCTACAGGAAGATGCACACATGCAAAAATGGGTTAAAAGCAAAAGAAGGGGAATCAAGCATACAGATGTTAGTGTGTGTGCGCGCGCAGCTCTTCTCTGACTCAAACGAGCCTCTGAAGGTTGTGGGGGAGTTGTCTTCTCTTCCTTCTCCCCACAGTGGGATCCCTGTGGCCTGTGTGGGGTTTTTGAAGTAATAAGTATCAGTGGTTCTGTGACACAGACGGAATCTTCTCCTCAACCCCATAGCCATTTTCGACTGCAGTGGCAAAGGAAAACTTCCTTTTTCTGATGATACCTTTGTTGCTCCTGATAATGTTAATTGAGTTTGGTAACACAACTCCTACTTTTTGGAGGGAAGGAATCTGATGTGAAGTGCTCTAAAGAAGGTGTGTGGTGGGTGGGAGAGGAGAGATAGAAACTACCTTGGACTGTCCCCTGTCCCGTCTTTTAAGCCTGTGGAAGAAGCTCCGTTGGAACTGGAGAACATGTCAACAAGCAAATCAAAAGCTAAAGTATGGCTAACTTTTTATGGCTTCAATGGGAAGGGACTCTCGGCTATCTCCTGTCTCCACAGTACTCATTAGATACTGGTAGCCATCCAGAAGTGTAAAAAAGACAAATCACAGACAGGATTTTAAGTCATGAAAAATAATGATATTTGATCCAACTTTTTTGAGACACTTCGACAAAATTATAAGAGTCGGATGGTAAGGACTTACGTTCCTGTCTTCCTCTGCTCTTGGCTCAGGCTCACACCTGTTCAAAGAAGCCTTTGGTGAGCTGGATGTTTGTTTAATAGCATGAGATACCTGAGTTGTCTCTTTTTTTAGCCCCTTCTGACAGAGAAGTAATGTTTCTGATACTTCTAAATTTAAGAAATGCAACAAATTTTTTTACTTTTCCTTAGAAAAGAAAGCATCTTTATATATATGTGCTGGTTTTGACTGGGATAGAGTTAATTTTCTTCATAGTAGCTAGTATGGGACTATGTTTTGGATTTGTGCTGAAAACCGTGTTGACAATACAGGGATGTTTTAGTTATTGCTGAGCAGTGCTTGCACAGAGTCAAGGCCTTTTCTGCTCCTCACCCCACCCCACCAGCGAGCAGGCTTGGGGTGCACAAGAAGTTGGGAGGGGACACAGCTGGGACAGCTGACCCCAACTGACCAAAGGGATATTCCATACCATATGATGTCATGCTCAGCATATAAAGCTGGGGGAAGAAGGAGGAAGGGGGGGGTATGTTCGGAGTGATGGCATTTGTAAAATAAAATCACCAATCCAGCACAGAAAGAGATCTTTTAGGAAAGTGTTTTTATTGTACATCTCTGTCCAATTCTGTCTAAATCAATACAATAACAAACTCTGCAGTGAAAGACAAGTAAAAAAAAGGTTTAGGTAAAACCACTGAATTTATAGTTAGTCTTAGCCCCAGGCCCTGTTAAAGAGCATAGGTTGTGATGGTGAGGGACAGGGTTCTCCTGTTGTTACCAAAGTTGGAGCCCTGCTAAAGAGCAAAGACTTCATGAGATACCGTGAGAACAGATATCTAAATGTTACTTGCACAGTTACTCTTATAAGACCAAAAAACCATATAATTTATACAGTGAAAACCTTGACAATTGTTTTAGGAACCAAATTATTCTTGTTCCCTTCACTGATCCTGTCATATTTACTAATTATTTACTTCTGTATACAACCACTGGTGTATGTGTGTAAAACTGTCTACAGTTTCAAATTGTACTTGGTAGTAGTCTCAAATCATAAAACATTCAGACTTGAGTACTGGATGAAGTGCACGCATGTTATTTTGGATGAAATATATCCTTTCTTAAGCATCTGTATAACATCTGGTAGCAACCATTTGCAAAACTTGTTTTCATGTGTATCTTGGATTTTTTTTTGGGCAGAGGGGAGAAATACTTTTAACTTTTACCTAATCTCATTTTAGATGTCAGCAAAGTTCACGGTCTTGTTTTGCCAAGATATGCCATGGCTTCTATTTTCTTTGCATTTTACACTGAACAAATTAAACTTTATTTTAAAACAAACATGGTGCACGACAGCTAACCTTCTGGGGTAGAAACAAAAAATTTATGTTGGAAAATGACTTCTCAGACTTCAGTTAGTGAGATCCTTCTTAGATCGCTTGTCTCTCTCTTTTTCTGATGCTTGCTCAGGAGTTTTAGCTTCTATTGTCAGACCTTATTAAACATACTTTGAAAGATTGCTGCAAGTGCGCTTGAGGCACGCTGCTCCCAGAAGGGGGCAAGTTTACTATTCTCCCTGTCCTCCCAGTTTTGCTTGAAATTTGATGAGTATCAGGGCAAACTTTCTTGATCTTCCTATTACTGCCAGAATTCTGTTAGGCGACTACCTTGGCAACCGTGGAAAGCAAGTCAAAAGGTGTGTGCATGTATAAGGATTTTTTTTTTTTGGAGACAGATAAGGAATGAAAAAAATGAAGTCTGATTGTTTGTTCTTTCTTCTTGAGCTTTCCAAATGTAGTTTTGTTTGGTATTTGAAAATCTCTTTGACCTTCCTTTGAAGTCACTGAGTGGTATTGACAGAATCCTTGTGTAAAGGGCATCTCCCTTGATTATAGAGTTTTAGTTGACGTATTGCCGAGCTGCTAGAAATCTGTCTTATAAGCCTGCTGTATATCCTTTAAGATGGAAATCTGACAGTGGTACTGTTGTTTTTTTGGTTTTGCCTTTTTTTTTCTTGAATTAAGGTTTAGCAGATGAAGAGCTTTTTTAGCTGTCTAGACAAGTAACTGCCAAGAGACTGCTTTTTCTGTAACAGTGACCTACTTGCTTATTCTGTAAAGCTAATCTCTTTTGACAGTGACTCCAGAAATTTTCCTTCCTAGATTGCTTGAGCACAGCTGCAACATTTTCATTTAAAGAAACATTTTTATGTTGAAAAGAGCTTTTCACATGCTGAAAACATGTTAGTAGCTCCTCTTCTTATGAAACTGAAAACATGGATACTTAACACCAACAATTTTTCCCCCGAAATGATTATTCCATATCAAGATAGTGACTTTGAAAGACTCTCCATTGAATATGAATGAAGTACTCTGTGATTTCTTTCTTTTTTCTTCCCTTGCTTAACTAGTGAAAGGAAACATCCAACAAAAGCAACGTCAGGAAAAATGAAACTGATATCTAATTTCAGTCTTTGTCTGCTTGTCTTATTTCTCAGGCCAGGAACAGTATCTTCTGTTTGTCTGGCACCCAGCGCAAATGGATCCAACCTGATCATGAGTCTCAGATGTTGTCATAAGATACTATGACAGTATCCTGACTATGTAAAGTTGACTACTGTGATATATGGACGACGTAGTTGCCATCACTTTTAAAATAGGCATAAAAATGTATGGTAAAATATCTAGAATAACGAAAGAAATTGGTTTTATATGAAGATTTAGAGACCAATAGGTAATTCTAATTATATCCTGTCTGTGAATGCCCAGCTATGAAGTTTGTAAATTTTGGAAGAACAGTAATACAGAAAAGGAGGAATACTGGTGAATGAAGGCAGTAGATGTAGACTCCCACTGGATTTTTGTAATACTAAAAGGTAACGAGTAAGGCTTAAGAATTAGAGATGTGACTGAATCCTGAACTTGGGAACAAGAGCAGGAAAGGAAATTCAGTGGAACTTGTGCATGTAAATTTTAAAGAAACTTCATCTTAACTGTCTGAAAGAAAATGGCAAGTTTTTATTGGAGTCACTTTTCACTGTCTGATCTTTTTTTCCTTTGAGCTGTGAATCCAAACCAGTTCAGCTTTTCCAGGTTTATCAGAAGTGGGGCTTTCAAAACGCACGTAATCTGAACTTCATGAAATTTGCTGTCTGAGAGAATGAGCCCGATCTATGGCTGACAGGTGCTATAGGAGAACACTTCAAGCGACAGGAGCTGTGATAGCTTACTGAGGATCAGGCCTGTTGGGTACTGCCTAGGAGCCTCTGCAGGGTATTGAGTGCTTCTGCCTGAGCTTGAATGCAAGGGCTGCAGTCTGGCATTTGATCGCAATCCTTAGGAAGCGTTATTAGAAGAATTCCTCTTTGAGAGTTTATCTCTGCATCTCTCTTAATTCTTGTTGGAATAGGAAGTAAATGAGTCCCTGTAGAAATCAGGGCAGAGGAGCCCTTGAGGAGGGGGTGGGAATGACTGAGAAGTAAGTTTGAGGTACCACAGAAGCGGAGCAAAAGGTACGCCAGAACGCTTCCTGCGGTGGTGAGCGGGTAAGATGATTTGCAAATACAAAACTAACGCAGTAGAGGTGAAAGCTCTAAATTGCCTGTTTGCTTCCTCCTGGGCTGCGACAGTGCCTCAGCTTCTCCCTTCGGGGGTGGACTTTTAAAGGGCTGTATCTGCTTTTCAGAGGTGTTGGTTTAATTTCAGAAGCAAGGAGTGGTACAGCACCTTCCTAAGGGAAAGGTAGAAATGCCTTTGGTGAGGGGAAGGGTTAGGTGCACACGCTGCACCTGAGTAATAACAGGTGTTCAAGTGAAAGATGATGGACAGATATTTTTGGTATCTGCCCAAGCTACATAGGGATGTAATAGTCAACTGGCTTTTTACCTTTTCAGAACGTCCCATAGCCGATAATGAACGGATGCTGGATGTTTTGCAGCGCTTTGGGATGCAGAGAAGTGAGGTTCGTTTCTTTCTTCGGCATGAACGCTCTCCCTGCCGGGAAGCAGGTAGGTATTGATCTCAGCTGGTTCATTTGTCTAAGTTTCATTTCGTTCCTCAAGATTAAGGAACCTGCTTGCCTATGTTATTTATTAATGTTGGTAGTCAGTGTGATGTTGCAGCCCTTTTTGGTCTGACTGTTATTTTCTTATGAATAGAGAATACTAATAACAGAAAACTTGTTCATTTTAGTAGAGAATTCATCCTTCCTTGCCAGATCTGGGGACATTAAATCCAACTGAAACTTTTGCAGGTTTTCTAGAGCTGGTCATCACCACAGCATCCAAGGGCATCCTGTGTTAAATATATTAGCCACAGCTAAATATTTAGAGATCTGTGATAGTGTCTTCTTTTAAACCTAGTAACCAAACTGTTGTCCAGTAATGTAACTTATTATTGAGGCTTAGGATGTTTCGCCTGAATAATACTTTACCATGGTGATAAACTTACAAAGTTTAAACTTGGCAAAAGATAGAGTTCTTCGATGTTTCTCCCACAATCTACACATTTGTATTACTTTCAGGAATAGAATTAAATGAACTGCCTAGTCAAATTCTCTCACAACGTAATATCTATGCACTAAATGTGCATAGTAAATCTAAATGTGAAACCTATAAAGAAAATGACTTTTTGCTTTTCAAGGTTTTTCTATTCATCCCATATTAATCTCTTCAGTAGAATCCTTAAGACTTTTACCTTTAAATCAGTCTACTGGATTCTTCTTCCTCCCCTTTTCCTGTTTTCATCCTTGGTAATCTTTCTCAGTATTGGAAACACTGCATTTATGTTAAGTGGCATTGTACCCAGCATATGTTAAAATGGCTAAATGTATCTTGATGTTTGAAATGTTTAATGATGATAGAATGAGTACGTGAAAACTTAAAGCTGTGTCATCTCTATCTACTAAGGTTCTTACAGTGCAGTTTAGTTGTCAGGATGTAATTTTTCAAGTTCCAGGGTGCTTGTAGTATAAGGATTATTGGCATTTTATTGGCCACAGCATTGCTAAGCAATATGTTTGAGGAAGAGCAAATGAACAGTTAGGAGCTCTGCAGTTAGTCTTGCAGGAATATGCTCTTGTGGGCCAAGAAGCTAACAGAGATGGCTTCATCCTGTAGTACATGTATGCCCTACAGGGAAATGAGTGAGCTTGGTATTTGGCATCTGAACACTGTTTGTACATAATTTGATGGAAGCATGAAAGTAGGGTTCTAGTTAAGTAGCATCTTTACTGTCACAGTGAAAAAATGTTGTGCTTTTAAACTTTGTTATGTGCAAATAATCAGCTGTAGATTAAATGGTGCATCTTTCACGATAGGTGACTAACTATTGTTATTCATATTCTCTGTGAGACAGTTGACGAAGGCACATCAGAACATCCAGATGCTGGTTTTAAGACACTGTGGTCCAAATGCCTCTCTGTGAATTAATCAGATATTTTTGTGGCATTTGGAGAGGAGAATATGTTTTTGTAACTATTCATCTGTAATGCAGACTTACTAGGGGCCTGTTGACCGTGGGAGAAATATTGAAATAGCCTACTGCTGGCTAAGCTTTTTTGTTTGTCTGCTTTTAAACAGTCTTACATCCTAAAATAAATGTTGACATTGAACAGCAGCCTCTTCATAACATATCTTGTGTCATCAGTTAAGTTTATCTTAGTGGTAAGAGCATGGGAAAGACAGATGTTCAGATGCTAAACCAAAGTGATTGTACTGTTACTCCTTTTGTATTGAATGCTCTGTCTAAAGGGATAAGAAAAATCCTAAAATACTTTACCATCTTTGATTATCCTGTATTTTTATCTAGGGACTGGACAAAGGTCTCAAGATCCAGCCTTAAAAAGAAATGGTGTGAAAGTGCCTGGTGATGGAAGAATAGAGAATGGAGTAAGTACTCAATGCAGTGGCCAGTATAGTGAAAATGGAGGCTTCTCTTCCTTTGAGATACTGGTGCAAATCCTGGAAACTAAGAGACTATTTTGGGGAGATTTCTAATGACTGCTTTAAAACAGACACAAAGCCTCTAACAACTATCACCCTTGAGTTCATTTCTTAAGATGTCTCTGAGGTCCATTGGCTGCCATATCTGTGTTTGGTGCTCTGAGATCACCCATAAATGCTCAGCATGCTTTTCCTTTTCCACTCCCATTGAAAGTTTTTGCTTGTTTTCCTTCAGTTCATTGGTTATTTTCGTGTTCAGTTTTGTGTCAGAGATACCTTAGTTACAGATTTCAAGTTGAAACCAGTCAGTGTTTCAGCATTGAATCCATTGTCTGTCATTTATTCTTGCTCCAGAAGATACAATTATGGATATAAGATTGAATCTAGATTCAGGAAACATGTGAACAGATAACTAATGTAATAATAATATAATAATAGTGCAATCTTTGAGGGTGTTGTGGTTGTCTTTTTCCGCACTATATTTAAACTTTCTGTTTTCTTCAACTTACGTTGAAGTGCTTTGAATTGCAATGATACACCTACGACCACAGATCCATCCTGCTGTGTGCTGAGCATTCTGGGCTCAGTCAGTCAAAGCTGATTCATGCTGAGCTTAATTATAAAGGGCTCTGAAACACCTCTGTAAAATGCTGCTGGGATTTTGCTAGAAATATTAATGTTTCAAGAGATGTCAGCTTATGCGTGTTGCTGGATTGGGCTATGCATGCGTATGAGCTTACAACTATTTATTCTTTTACCATGGAAATATGCCATTTCTTTCTAATTATTTTATTGGATACTCAGTTGTTACCTTTTTTTTTAAAAGATATTTAGCGTACTTTTCTGCAGTAGCTCTATTGAATTGCACACCAGCCAAATTAAAAATTCTAAACTTAGCATGCTTCGGATTTTCTTTGATAGGTCAGTGCTCCAAGGATGGATATGACACTGGCTGAACTTCAGGAAATGGCATCACGCCAGCAGCAACAAATTGAGGCTCAACAGCAAATGCTGGCTAACAAGGTGAGTTTGGAATGAGATTGTTTACAGCCAGGAACAAAGGTAGTAAGAGTCACATGAGGTGGAGGGAGGATTGGGGGTTTGGTTTTTTTTTTCACCTCTTATAAACAGAGGGCTCTCTTTTTAAACTTGAAAGTCAACCTGTGCAAATATCCGGTAGTAAAATATTAAAATAATGCCAGTGACAGAAGTGACCGTATAGCTTACTAAAAGGATAGATCATATAACATTAATATGTTGTCGTTCATCCTGGTGGCTCTGCCAGCCCTATTTGTGCTCCTTGTGGTGACCAGCCATTCACCCGTTTGTCACCGAACCATGCTTTTGTCTCTGGATACAATGCTGTCCTGTAGTGATATCTTGCTTTCTCCTGATAGAGTTCAATGTGCCTGGTTTCCTGGGACAGCTGTCTGGAAAAGATGGAATGTGTGTGATAAAAGTAACTAACAGAGTGATTTATAAAATGCTTGCTGAATGATAACAGAAAAGCTAATGAAAGCACACAGGGTGCTCCTGAATCATTCAGGGGAAAAAATACTCTGAATGCATCTGCAGAATGGTGGCATGGATTTCATAGTTGACTTAAGTGTTGTTGGTACACACTGCTCCTGAAAATACCATGGAAAATGCTGCTTTTGGCAGAGAATCGTTATATGTGAGCCCATCCTGAAGAGCGCTTGGCTGTCTGGGTGGATGAGTTCCCATGCCTTTCAGAATGTGCTCTACAGGGGAAGAAGGCTGCTCTGGGGCCCTTGTCTTGCTACTCTTCCTCTGTCAGAAGCCCCGTCTCCCTCTCCTTTTGAGATCAGTTGGGTTGCCCCCCTGCCCCGTACGCTTAGCATCTCGTTCAGTTCCCTTGGCTTTCAATAACTGTACTACAGGGAAGTGCTTCAAACCGTGGCTTTCTAATGGTTCTGCAGCACCTGCAAAGTGATACTATGGCCTGTCAAAATAGCCAATAAAACTTTTTCTGTTTTATGGTAAGAACTGGTATGAAGAAGGTGCAACTATAAATATAAGAAATTAGTCAATCAACCAAGTAATTAGAGTTTTCACTTGGAAGTTTAGCAGCAGAGTTAATACCGATTCTGCCCTGATTCATTTGCCAAGGCAGAATGTTGCCCTCTTCTCAGTTCCAGCTGAGATGTGTTAAATATAAGAGGGAAGCCTAAACTTTTATAACTTTTGTGTTTCACTCACAGGTGATGGTAACAGACCTTGGTTTTATAAATAACAGTGTAGTAACTATATCTATGAAACCAGAAATAGGAACATTATATATATTTACTGGAAAGATTTAAAAGGAAAAAAAAAAAAAATTACGAGTTTGAGTCTGGATAGCTGCCCATCAGGTAGGTGTCTGCTGCCTGTGGTTTGAAGAAGAGCAGCCTTGTGGGTGTCCCACCAGGAGAATTTTTCATTTAACGTGCCTCTCTGGAACAAACCTGCTTTCCCAGATGCCCTTTCAAAGAGAGGCTTTCCGTTGCCTCTTTCCTGCCTTCTGAAATCAGATGCAATATTAAAAATAGATTCTGAGGGGGAAAAATGCACTTTCTGTTTAGACATGAGCTGTAATATCTATTTTTTGATATTTTCCTGCGTGGGATTGACTCTAAACTAGCGCATACACTGTAGGTGCTGCCTGGTTTTCTCCGGAAGGCAAGCTCCCTTTTTGCTCTTCCATTTTTATTCAAAGTGCACAAGACTCCCTGTTTCTAAATATGACTGGTGACTTTTTTTATATATATACTTTTTTTTTTAAAGGAAGTGTCGAGTTCTAATGTTAGTAAGCAGTGGTAGTCTTGGCTGTTAGTAGGTGCTTGGGAAAGTCTTAGTAGTTCTCCTACCTCAGGAAAAGCCTATAAACCTATCATCTCCAGAACTGGAAGCCAGGTGTAATGGCCAGTGATTTAAAGGAAGTCTCTATAGGTGATCTAGTGGTTTCTTTTAGCCCTAAGCTATAGACATCTGTATATAGAAACTCATAGTGCACCATTTTACTCTTATACTCTTGGAGAGGCAAAAGGATCCTCTCCACTGAGATGGGGGCCAGGTCACTATGAAGGTTTTCCCATGTCTTCAATCATCCTGTGTTGTGATAGCGGTGATCATTACCAGGAAATGGTACATGTTCAGAGCTTTGTTGTGCAGTGACCCCCATCTCAAGGAGGTTCCAGCAGAACTAGTAAAAGTAAAAATAGTGATGAAAATGATAAATAATTTATGGAATACCTTCTGTATAAAGAATGTCTAATATTCTTGAGCGTGACTTACAGTTGTTTAAAATGTGACATATGATAGAATTCTGTAAAGTACAAGCAGCATGGAGAAGGTAGAGAGAAAATAATCATTAGCTATTGCAACTCAAGAGCCAAGTAGCAATTAAATGAAACTGGCAAATGTCATGGAACATGAATGCTAAAATTTTTCTTAGGCTTCAAAGTGTTTTGAGCAATTTTGTGGAAGAAAAATTTACCAAGGGCTGTTAGACACGGATACCGCCTCTGTTTCGGTAGGTTCTTGTACTACAGAATGGTTGTACCTGGAGGATTGTATTGGGACAGAATCAGTACGTGTTTGCTCTGTTCTTTCAGACTTCCCTTGACACTCTGGGAAGTCAGGATACTGGGCTAAAGCTGCTTTGAGCTGCTGTGGCAATTGTTTTTAAGACTGTTTCTGTCAGTACCTTACCGTAAGTTCATTTTTAAAAAAAAAAAAAAAATTCCTTGTCCTGATTGCAGGAACAGCGCCTGAAATTCCTGAAACAGCAAGATCAGCGACAGCAACAGCAAGCTGCTGAACAGGAAAAACTGAAGCGATTAAAGGAAATTGCTGAGAATCAGGAAGCCAAACTTAAGAAAGTGAGAGCACTGAAAGGCCACGTGGAGCAAAAAAGACTCAGCAATGGGAAATTAGGTGAGTTGCTGCTTGGGGAAAGTAGCTGGTGATTTTTCATGAAATGTGGTTCTTGGAACTCTAAAATTTCTGGTGACTTCAATGATTCACAGGAGTTACTTACAGTGTTCCAGGAAATGTTAATCTGAACAATTTCACATCATGTATTTACCAAGAAAACTCTTGAATGACCTAGAACAAAATATATTTCCTTACTGTATTTTAAAATAGCCCATAAGGGCACCCTGTGTTTTGAGCCTAGCATATCTGCTCTTTAATTATAGTGTAGGTTTTTTCCTTACTTGAATACCTTTGTGTACCACAGTAACTTTTTTCCATCCTTGATTTTAAAACGCCACGCATCTAGATAGTGTTATTTTCTTGGCCTATAATAAAGCTTGGCCTGATACCCATGTTGCCTCTTATGCAAGAGGTAACTTAATGGCCAAAATGGCTGAGTATTTTCTTTTTAATTACGGAAATCCGACTAGTATCTGGCTTGCTACAGTACTAGTTAGGTGCTTGCAGTTCAGCATGTTGATGCAACATTAAATACTTATTTCAGACTTCATATCAACACACATTCTTCTGCGTACCTTTTCATCCTCCCTCTATAGACATTGTATGGAACTTGTCATTTCCAGCTGGACTCAAATGAAAATATATTGGTTTATTAAGGTAGAATATAAATATACTGTTTTATTAGGAAGCATTGTACTTTACAGATAAAGCAAAAGTGTTTTTCTGTGGGGAGAATGCATTTTCTGTTTGGGTTCTGTTGCACAAAATAAACATCAGTTTAAAGGAATGGAAGGATGGTAGAGTAATACAAGATCTTGGAGCATGTGTATCTGTTTCCCTGCACCCTCCTCAGCAGGTCTGTTCTTGGTACTCGCTTGAACTCTTACTGATTCCTTAAAGTTTGTTCTATAATGCAACAGTGGGAGCAGCTGGTGACAACCGTTTGTCGTAGATGCTAAAAAGCCCTCTGAGTCTTTGTTTAATACAACAGCTTGAGTGTTTCGTCATTGAGTTCCTACAACCTAAATTCAGAGTTTTAAATATCATAAATATGCTTTGTGGTTGAGTGAGTGTCTTCCTGCGGAATTCAGCATTAAGTGAATTTAGGCTTCTACAGATGAAATTCAGCCTGGTAGTGTGGTTTTGTTTGTTTCCATACTTCAGAAAGTAAAAAATGTTCTTTTTCCCTCCCTGTTAGTGCTCTAAGTAGACCGAATTTACATAATCTTGCTAGTGCGTTTACTTCTACAAATGCTTCGAGGAAGAGCTGGTTTGACAGGGACCGTGAGTTTGCGGCAGCCGGCCGCAGCCTCTGTGCAGCACCGCTCCAGAGACCGGCAGGGCGCTCTCTGTCCCCTTAACCGCCGCCTTGGAAGCAGCCCACGCTCGTCTGTTTCTCAGGGCAGCTATTGTGCTCTCTCGTCCTCTCCAGTGGAGGAGATTGAACAGATGAACAGCCTGTTCCAGCAAAAGCAGCGCGAGCTGGTGCTGGCGGTGTCAAAGGTAGAGGAACTCACCAGGCAACTGGAGATGCTGAAGAATGGCCGAATTGATGGTTACCACGACAACCAGTCGGCTGTAGCTGAGCTTGACCGCCTGTACAAGGAGCTGCAGGTAATGGAAAGCCAGCTCGTGACCCCACAACTCTAAGGGCTAAAAGTTGGTTGGGTCGTTTCTTACCTCGTTGGAAAGAAATCGCATTGCTGTTCCTGACGGAGCTGAGTGGCTGCCAGCGTGCTGAGGATGGAGGGTTAGTTGTACCGGGTTCAAGGTAAACAGGGGAAGGAGCATGCAGTGTATATACCTTTCTTTTCTGCAAAATTTGGAGACTAACCAAGACTGTTTCCGGAGAAAATAATCTGAGTTTGCCAGCATGACTTGACTTTTTAGAAGGCTTTTCTCTTTGTAACTGTTTCCTGTCCCCCATCCTGAAAGTTAATTTGTTTTGATTTTTGTTGTTTTCCCCTCCTCCCCCCTCCCCGGGCTTTGTGAATTTATTCAGTTGAGGAACAAACTGAACCAGGAGCAGAATGCCAAGCTGCAGCAACAGAGGGAGTGTTTGAACAAGCGCAACTCGGAGGTGGCAGTCATGGATAAGCGTGTTAATGAGCTGCGAGAGCGCCTGTGGAAGAAAAAGGCAGCTCTGCAACAGAAAGAGAATGTACCAGTAAGTGTGGAATATTTAATAACAAAAAACCTAATTTCATTTGTGGCCCATACAGTCTGCAGTAAAAACTTGCTTGTGGGGAAGGCTGTTCAGATGCTAGACTTGTTGTTTTTATCCATATGTGGTGGAAGTCTTGTATTGCTAAAGTACTTTTCATGGTACGTTGGTGTTAACCTACTTACTCTTTATGGACAAGAACTCTTCTTATGCTGTTGTAGTTTTGTTTTTGATAATTTTTTTTTTGCTGTTACTACCTCATGTTTATATCTCTTAAAGCTTTTTTATAAAAGCATTTTTAATATTGGAGTATCATTTTCTACTTGTTTTATCCTTTTTGACTTCTGTTTCAAACTCTGGATGGATACTGCAGCATAACATTCTTTATATTTTCTTCTTGGTTTTTTTTTTTCCCACAAAGGTTTCTTCAGATGGGAATTTCCCCCAGCCAGTGGCTTCTGCTCCAAGTCGAGTGGCAGCAGTAGGTCCTTATATCCAGTCCTCTACTATGCCACGTATTGCTTCCAGACCTGAACTTCTGGTGAAACCAGCATTTTCAGATGGGACACAAGCTTTGCAGGTACCTGATGGTCCACTAAAAACACAAACTCTGCCCAACATGAGAGCTGGGAGCAGTTCACAAGCTAAAGCTCCTGCAGGTAATAGCTTATGATTAATGTTTCTTCTCCAGAAATGTTTTGTTTTCTTACCTACCAGTTCTTTCTTTAAGAAAAAAAGAAATAAAAAAAAGCAAAGTATTATTTGAGATGTCAGTCTTAATACTTGCAATTTTCCTGCCCCAGTGAATATATTTTGTAAGCACTGAAGTTATATGATTCAATGTGTTATGTGTTATAAATCAAGTAATCCTCTTAGTGAGAAATTTGAGTTGTCCTACAGCATAGAACATAGGAGGATTTTTCTGTAAACTAGTGATTTATTTATTTATTTTAAAATACTCCTTAAAACTATATAGCAGTGCTTGTTTGAGTTTCTAGAGGCAGTTTCTAGAGGACATACATGGTAACAACTGGACTTTAAAAACTAGCAAAGCCCGGTTTTCTGATCATGCATTTTGGAAATGAGACATGTAAAGGATTAACCAAGATTACAAGAAATATTATAAAGGAGGCAGTTGATTGTAGCACAGAAATAGCAATAAACTTGCTGACATGTTGATGGCGTAGGAATATGGAGAGACATAAGTCCAACACCTGACACAAGGCTTGGCCTCTCCTGCTTGGAGTGTTAATGGAGATTTGCCTGGCTTCTCTCTGTGGCTTTCTCCTACGAGGTACAGTTCAGCTCTGTGAGAGTACTAGAAGTCTGGAGAAACTGGAGAGTTGCAAATATCTCTTCTGTGCTATCTTGGGAGGAGAAGACTCACTTTTCGGCTGGGAGATAAGAGAAACTCTGATATTCCCAAAAGGAAAAAATGGAGGCTGAGCTTGTAGAATAGTTCTGTTTATTTTTTATCTCCCTCCTTCCATCTCCAGTTCTGGCAGGTATTATTAAAGTAGCCATGACACAAAACCAGTCCAAGTGTCTCTTGCTGTACTGGAGAATGGGGAGCTGTTTCATTTTATCTGGTTTGCAGATCCTAAAACTGCTGGAGTGGAATTTTAGCTCTAGTCCATACAAAATTTGAATTTTCGCTATAGGGATGTGTGGTGGTGTGCTATTTGAACTAAAACATCACTCCTTTTTTTTTTTTTTTTTAAAGCATTTGGGCAAAACGACTGCTTTCCTAGAGAGATAGTATCCGATACTTTGTCAGAATGAAACTTTTCTCCTGCTGCTTATCATTACTGTTTGAATTTAATATCACTTATTGTACTAGATAATTTAGAATTTCATAGAATTTGGTAAAATTTTTAAACTAATAGCAAGTTGCAGGCATTTTCTTAGTTATTTTTGAAGCAGACTGGATGTCTACTCCAGTGAATGTAAAGATCAGCTTTAATGCAGTGCCTATAGGCACATAGAACATACAGATGATTTTTCTACTGTTTTGGATATCACTGGCAGCTGTGATATGCTTTAAAGCATCATGTTTTTCTTTGCACAATATAGCTTTCTCATCCCTTCTTACCATCCTGTCACTTTTAACTTACTGTAAATATCTAAGGAGAGTTTCTTACTAACTCGAAAGAAGGCAGTCTGGAGAAGTCTCTTGTCTGAATGCTGTAAGTGCAAACGTGTACTAGGACAGATAGTTTTGCTGCTGCTTTGATAGTTGTTTCTGAGCTTGGTTTTGCATTCTGTTTTTAAAACAAACAAATGACCAAAAATCTAAAGTGATAGGATTTATAGCAGTTAACCTGTATATGGTACTTGTACACTGTCTAGACCTGACTCTTACAAAAAACCTACCTGTAATAATAAGTCAATAAAAACATTCTTTTAGCTTAATCTGTTCCACTTGTTCTCTCCTAGGTTCTGTGATCCCCAGTGCGAAACCTTCCCCATCTGCCACTGACTGGAGTAGTTCAAATGCAGACAATCACGTTAGTCAAGGATCAGCCTTGACTTCAGGAAAAGGAATTGTGACTAGTGAAGGACAAGGTATGTTCTTATGTGCTTGGCTAATCTTAAAATATGCAGAATCTAGTTAATGATGTCTATCTCTTTTAAATGCTCCAGTAAATATGTAGAATTCATTTGAAAGCACAAAAAAAATCAAAGAATATTGCCATATAAGTTTTAGTATGGTGTTGCAGGGACTTTTTAAAACACAAACAAACTTGTTTCAGGTGGTGAAGTAGATACTAGTGCCTTCATACACGCTCCTGTTCAAATTGCAAGATACAGCATTTGGCAGGCCCTTGGGTCCTTAGCGCAGGGGTAGGCTGGATACAGAAAGCATCCCTTGCATACACTGTCTTGAATATTGCACAGAACAGGACTCTTACTCCTACAGTTGTGTTGTCACTTTTAAAAGTCTTCCTTTCTCTCTAACAACAGCTGAAGGAGAAACTTTTGTACGAGACAAAGAGAAGAAAGTGCGTCCATTCTCAATGTTTGATTCTGTGGACCAGTCTACTGGGCTGGGCACACTGAGGAAGAACCAGAGTAGTGAAGATCTCCTGCGAGAAGCACAGGTATGCAGGAAGCTCCAACTACTGCATTCCATCTGACAGGGATTAGACAGCTTTTCAAATATTGCTGTCAGGAAGCTCTTTGAAAAGTACCTAGGTCCTCTTTTAAAAGACTGCTTCCAAGGAAAAAAGTCTTTTAGGCTTTTAATGGCAGTTAGTAACTCAAAATCATTCCCTACGGTCACTGTGATGAAAATCTACATTTTGACTGAATACATAAAAATGGCTGTGTTTACTTGTACTAGTGTGTGTGCGTATATTTTTTTCCCAAAGATTCTATGCACAGAAGCATTTGCATGGGTTTTTTAAAATCATTTACACACTTGTTTCACTGTTTAATGCAGCAGTGTCCTTCAGATGTTTGATTGCAGCAAGACTTCCCACCTAAATCTTGGCACAAGGGCATGATTTGGTCGGGCAGGGGTGAAGTAACATAGAAGAGCTGGGGATGACAAGTGCTCTGCTGGAAAACAAGCTTCTTGCCTACAGATGCTACTAGGTGCCTCTGCTATCTCTAGAGAAATTACTGTGCCCTGCCATTGCTTGATGTTTTAAACATAGCTGCTACAGAAAGCATTAAAGAGAATGGATTCAAAGAGAAATATTTTATCATCATGGTTGTTTACAAGAAGTCTGTTCATGTTTCCAATGATGTTGTAAACAGTATTGCAGCAAAAGTAGAAATGCTAAATGCTGTGTCATTCTTTGAAAATCTTTGGTCCTTCACAGCAGAACTCCTAAAACATGTTTTGCTGTTTAATCTTAATTAATTTTTTGTCTTTCAGATAGCCAATAAAAATGTAACAAAGGTACCACCACCTGTCCCCACTAAACCAAAACAGATAAACTTGCCTTACTTTGGTCAAGCCAGTCATCTGCAACCTTCTGATACCAAGCTGGATGGAAATCTGCAGAAGCTGCCTTTGGCTATCGTAACTATGGGGAACAAACAAAAACCAGTGGCACAGCAGCCTTCCCATCCTTCTCAGCAGATACAGCAAAGAATTTCTGTACCTCCTGCAGGTCCCTCTAGTCAGGACCAAATTCTTCCCTCCTCCAAACAGGAGAGTCCCCCAGCAGCAGCTGTGAGACCTTTTACCCCTCAGCCGTCCAAAGAGACCTCACTCCCACCATTTCGAAAGCCTCAAACTGTGGCTGCAAGTTCAATTTATAGCATGTACACGCAACAGCAGACTCCTGGGAAGAACTTCCAGCAGGCAGTGCAGAGTGCTTTGACAAGGGCACAGACCAGAGGACCGCACTTCCTGAGTGGTAAGCTTATCTTCTGTCTTCAAACCTCAGATAGATGTACTTTCCACCTGGTCTGTGGGTGCAAAGCTGTTCCTCGGGGGAATTAAGCAGGTTAGTGCAGCTGTAAGAATCTTAGGTGGATCTGGCATCAGTGTTAACGAGAAGTGCAGAATAGCTGTCTTGCATTTGCAAGATAACCTGGTAGCCAGGTTTACTGTGATTAGTTAATTCTGTTCGGTTGATCGTATTAATCTGCTTCTTTGTCCTAGGTAGGTGAATTAGGTTTTGTGTTCTTAGGTTTGTTGGTCAAATATTCACCCTTGCTTTTTCCACACCCCCCTCTGAACTGTTCTGCAGTGTATGGCAAGCCTGTGATGGCAGGAGCTGGTGTACAGAATCAGCTGCCGCAGACAGAGAACGTCTACTCAAACCTCCAAGGCAAGCCAGGCAGTCCAGAGCCTGAGATGGAAACAACAGCCTCCGCTCATGAGAATCACGAAACAGAGCGAATACCCCGTCCCCTTAGCCCAACCAAATTGCTGCCTTTCTTATCCAATCCGTACCGTAACCAGAGTGATGCTGATTTGGAAGCACTACGGAAAAAGTTGTCTAACGCACCCAGACCACTGAAGAAACGTAGCTCCATTACTGAGCCAGAAGGACCTAATGGCCCCAATATTCAGAAGCTGTTGTATCAGAGGACCACTCTGGCTGCAATGGAGACTATCTCAGCTCCATCACATCCCTCCAAACAGATGGCGTCAGCTTCCAGTCCTGAAAACCCAACAGAAATCCCAAATCCTTATGTAAGTGCAGAATCAGAAAAAGAAACAGCTGCTCCTATGCCAGAACCAGCTATTGCTGAGGAAGCAGAAAACGCACCAGCAGATCAGAGTGAAGCTGTTCTTCCTTCCGTAGCTTTGGACACTGTACCTGAGGGAATATTAGATAGTGATGAACTCACGCAGCCAAAAATGGAAGAACCAAGCCTAGAAGCTTCACTGCCACTGGAGGTATACATGGAAGAATATCCTCCATACCCACCACCTCCCTATCCATCAGGGGAACCAGAGAGTTTGGGAGAGGACTCATTCAATATGAGGCCTCCTGAAGTTACTGGACAGTTTTCCTTGCCTCCTGTAAGTATTAGTTAGCCTACAACTTGGGTGCCCTGTCAATAAGTCATCTTAAGCTCTGCCATAAATCCTGTGCGTTTTTATTGTAGAGCTTAAGCAGATGTGGCAGAACAGTCACTCAAATAGGCTAGAAGTCTCTCTGTGGATATCTGTTCTATTTGTGTGATGCTCTTATCTCCGGAGTGAGTGACAGTAATGAAAAGTCTCTGTTGTCTCTAGAATTAATGACATGATGAAAAGTTTCAAATGAAATTAGTAAAACTCTTCTGGGCTGTAAAGAACATTCCTTGTAAAAGTCTGCCTATTACAAGCAAATTATATTTCCTTCTTAAGAGAAATTAAAGTTTGGTGGTTTTTGGTGTGGTGGGTTTTTTTTGAGGCACAGATACAAATTTCACAAGGATTTCCCACTATTGCTGATATGAGATGAAAACTAATTAATACTGGATTGCATTTTTTTTGTCTGAAAGTTCCTTGCTTGAAAAACATGGAGAAACAGACTTCTTTAGTTTCTCCTTTAAAAACTCATTTGTACACATCAACTGCTTGCACATCTTCTACTGAAATGTTTTCTGAATTTTCCTTTGGAACCTGATTTAACATCAGTCAGTTCTCAAGTTGCATCAAAATGGAGTCTCTTTGGGCTAAGGGTAGGCAGCATTTTACCATCTTGTTTGCTTTGGAAGTTTGTATCTGTGTGTGTGATACGGTCTTATCTCACTGTCGTAGAATAGAAATGCTTACTGCATTCAGTTCCTCAAAGAGTTTCTTTTAAAACCTATCATGAACAGAATTTTAATAACTTGATACATGAAAGTGGTTTTTTCCTCCATCACTTTAGTGCAGAGGAGTTAAAAGCTTTAAATGTGCTTTTTAGCTTCTAATTTCTTCATGGAATAGTCATTGTGTGTTTTCATGCGTTTAATACTTTGTCCTTGCTCCCTTTTACAAGGCAACTTGAGTGGTAGGATTTCCTAAATTGTAAGAACTCGTTTCTGGCTGGTTTGTAATAATTCTGCAATGATGAGAAGAAACCGGCCCAACTTCTTGATTTCATATTTAAATACTTGGGTTGTGCTGACACGCTCTTTCTTTAAAAAGCCTGTACTTCTTGGTATTATGTATAAATCAACAGGCAAAAGAATATTTTCTGGGAATCTCTTCTTATATATCGTATCTTCACATGTTTGCTCTTGCAAAACATGAGTCATTTCTATTCATCTTTGCCTGGACATCTGTCAGAAATTTACATACCCTTATGAATGGTGTTTATTGCTGCTGCACAGCCAGCGGGGGAGAGTGCTGAGCTAATGTGTGCATATTCTCTAAAGGAAAGAGTACAAACTCAGCTATAGAAATACTTGGTTTCCAGTGTCACCGGGAGCATCTAAAGTGTTTTCTACACTTGGTTCTATATTCTTTTCAAAACCATTTTCCATAACTATTTCTGTTCCTGTTAAATTCTGTGAAACTTAGGAAAATGTTAGGAATTCAATATCAGTGCTTAAAAAGTAGCATATTTCATGGAGTCTTTTAAGGTTCTTGGTTTGTGTTACAGCTTTGAGAGCTAATGCTGAAGTGGTCTGCGAACAAAAAAATTCGCATTTTTTTCCTGATCTTAGGGATTTGGGAGTTTTATAATTTTGATGATGTGCTTGATCAAGGTGACTTCTCTATTTAAGTAGAATGGTGACCTTGTCTAGAGATGAAGGCAGACATCTTTCATAACGTGCCTAACCTACTATATTTGTAATGTATTGGGGAATTGGTAGAAAATAGTCTAATTTTCATATTAAACACTACCTTAATTGGTCATTTCTGCTGCCATTCCCAAATAAGCAATTCTGTGTTCTTGTTCTTCCCAGGAAAAAAATGCCTGTAACTTGTGTTACCTTTTCACAGGGGAAGAGGACGAACTTGCGTAAAACTGGCTCTGAGAGAATTGGGCATGGAATGAGAGTGAAATTCAATCCCCTCGCGTTGCTTCTGGATTCATCTTTGGAGGGGGAGTTTGACCTCGTGCAGAGAATAATTTATGAGGTACAAGTGTTAACTTGTAAGAGAAGGAATAGCAATCCTGGTTCAAACTGGGAAGTCGCAGCTTTTCTGGACTGAGGAATAATAGTGCACAACCTAGAGCTGCCCTTGAGGAGATAAATCCTAACAGGACATGGCCACTTGGAGGCTGATTTTAGCAGTGTTTAGATCCGCACTGGGTATTTAGCATCAAGACTGTAAATTTGCAGGACTACTTTTTCCTCATTTCTTATGTAGTGTTTCATCCCCTATCTGGCATGTTATCAGATAATTTGATGAGCAGAATCCATGTGAACTTTTCTTACAGTTAAATAGGCAAATATCAGAAATTTGTTATAAATGCTTTTACTAAGTTATCAAGGTACTATTTCTCTGAACCAGTTCAGGTTCTCACTATTAAAAGGAGGCTGGAAGCTTATATGTGAGTCTTCTTGCGAGATTGGTTACTGCTGTAGTTTTCATAGAAATATCGCTCAAAATCATATTTCAGAATAAGACAACTTGTTTTTATATGTGAAGAGATGTTTATTGTAGAGATTCTCACCAGAATGTGAATGGCTCCTTTTCTGGCTGAGTAGGTTGAAGATCCTAGCATGCCCAACGATGAAGGGATTACAGCACTGCACAACGCTGTGTGTGCTGGACACACGGAAATCGTGAAGTTCCTGGTGCAATTTGGCGTGAACGTGAATGCTGCAGATAGTGATGGATGGTAAGTCTGTCTTTAAGTGGTCCCTTACAGGTGCTCTCCACAAGAGAGCTGCAGCTTGAGGGCTGCTACAGGTCCCTCACAAGGTCCCTCAGTTTGCTCCTATAGAGCTGGCAATGACTGTAAAGCAACAGCAGTTCTCTGTGGGGCATCATATGACAATGCGCAGAGGAGAAAAAATTATACTAATATTCCCTATATGAAAAAAGTGTATGTCTGAGGCCCAGTAGGGTGGATACAGTTGTCAGGAAATCGCTCTATTTCTTTGAGATATTGAAGACAGCTTACGCGTAATGAGCCATTTGCTGAAATGTCCAATGTCCTCTCTGTGTGATAGCCTATAACTTACACATGCTCTCGGCAATATCTAGCCCTGCAAACTCTCCTCAGTAATTTGTCCAACACTCGGACAACTTCAAAACAAAACAAAGCAGGAAACCAAAACCTACAAACTAGGCTTGCAACTGATAATGGGTTACAGATCCTTCTTACAGGTAGCTAGGAAGCTTATTTACAAAAGGCTATGGGGAGGCAGTGATTTTACTATTATTTCTGCCTATAAGAAAAGTGTCTAAGGTCCAAGACTGAATAAAGATGCTGGTTGTCCCTCAATTTCAGTTGTTATCCCAATTACCTGCACTTGTCACAAAGTCAGGTCTTGAAGTAACTGTCTAGGTTGTAAGAGTCATGATGTCAGGAGGATTTCTGAGTGGTTTTTTATTATTGATTTATTTTTTCTTTTTATTGCCTTAATGAATGTTCTTAAAATGTTAATGGATTATAAAAAGGTAGCATAACCAGAGATCCATATGGAAACCCTGCTTTAGGGCTCAAGCAGCTCTTGGTTACTCCTGTTATCTGTGAAAAGCAATTGCTCTTGACATCCTGGGTTAAGTGCTTCTGGCCGGAAGCCTTCAGCGATGCAGTACTGATTGCTGGAGGTCTCGCACAAAAGTGGTTTGCCCCCAGGAGTCTGTAAGCACTGCTATGAACAATAAAAGTAATGTGTCATCTTTTTCTTCTTGGCTTGCAGGACCCCATTACACTGTGCAGCATCTTGCAATAACGTGCAGGTGTGCAAGTTCCTGGTGGAGTCAGGTGCAGCTGTATTTGCAATGACCTACAGTGACATGCAGACAGCTGCAGATAAGTGTGAGGAAATGGAGGAAGGGTACACACAGTGCTCCCAGTTCTTATATGGTGAGTGATGACAGCTGAGTTCTGGAGCATGCTAGGAACTCACCTGGCACTTTTCAGTATGTTTTTGGACAAGAAGTGGTAAGTTGCACACTTAAGTTTTATGTGCCCATGCCTCAGGGCATTCCTCTTGGCAAGAGAGAGGTTTTAGCCAGCTTGTTGTTATGGAATGAGGTCCATTGAGACTAACTTCATAATATTCAACCTATAGAGAAGATTTGAGTAACAGAACGT